CGGCTATGCAATTCAGTTCACCTGGCGTCCCCCCAAGTTCAGTGGCATCCGCTTCACATCAGTGAAGGCGGCCAATGCTCCTGTCTTGCGTACAGAGATCGCAGTCCTTCGTGGCTCGTAGTGACCGACTGAAAGGGAACATCTCGGTTACGTATATAACCCTCGTTCCCTGAAGGAGGGGACGGAGACGTCACGTCCCATCGCCACGGCTACTGTACTACCGCTGAGCGGCCGGGTTACCGGCTCGGCTCCTCAGCGAAAACCTGGTATGCATTGCACCTGCTACCTTTTCATGCTCGCGCTGTGATCAGCGGCAGCTGGACGCAATCATCGCATACCAATTCGTCAGTCACGACGTGACATCTTCGTTCCCTCCTTCAGGGAACGAGGGTTACATACGTAACCGAGACGATTTCTCTCCCAGAATGCCCTCTTTCATCCAGTGCATTTCCTTTCAGCATGTCATTTAAATAAACACTGACTCGCTAACTCCCCGTGCAACACTTTACATGTTTTTGTAGCAACACATTCGGTCAAATACTTCTGTTTACAAATCTGTTATAAAAATGAGTTGAATTAGTTGTATTCCGTGTAAATTTTGTCATCCTTATTGAGATGCTTGTGATGTTTGTGCATCCTGTAGTGCAGCTGATGATGCTTTATATGATGAGTCGCTTCTATCTGGTCAAAAGTCTCTTCAGTAACACTGTAAAAAGACTGTATTCATGGGAGTGTAAAGCTGACTGAAGTCAGCGTCCGTCCGCTCATTATCACGTCTAAAGCAGCGTGGATTACCACACACTCTCACGCTGATATTCTGGAGCTCTTGGCTCAGACTCCAGGCTCCCGTGAAGGTGTGGACGGCCGCCAGACGAGACTCGGGTGGCAGTTTTTCAGACACCCAGTGGGCGGCAGAGTAAATACAGACGCTGACTGACAGCTGAAGCGCTGCACATGCGGCCGTCTGCACGGCTGTCCTGGGCTGTTGAACTGAGCAGTGTTTCCCGGAGCGGGTCGAGCCGAACGGGCTGCTGACAGTGCCAGTCTGGAGCGCCTGCCATCTGTGCGTCTGTCTCTTACTTAGGCCACGCTCAGGGATTTGAACGATTTCCAAAAACACACAAAACTGTTGTAGTCAGAGGAATTCATGGCGTCAGACAGAAAAATTAGTTGATGTACATATTGATGAAATATTACGAAGACACATTTTCTTTTCTCTCAGTTCATATCATGCTCAATAAGATCAACACATTTTTTATTTATATAATTCATTTATTTCCTCATATAAAAAGTCCCCTGGTGAAATATTGCACAAGCAAAAACATAAATATATGAAATACATAAAACTCATATATACACAGGTATATAATATGTATGGTGTAATAAATAAATACACCTTTTTCTCTTAGCTAATTTCACCAATTAACTGTTTACAATAAGACCTTTTATATAAATGATTTCCTTGTATATAAAATCAAAAATGTATTATTTTATATATTTACACGTAAATCTTTTTTTTTACTTTTTTAATTAATAATACATTTCTCTATTATTTATTTTTATTTTATATGTATATGAAATTTTAATATTTTAATATTATTAAATATTATTATTAGTTTCATGAATACATTTATTTTTTATTTTATTTTTTAAATACAGTACATGTTTATATGCATATACAGTGGGGCTGATTCTATTCTATAACTCCTGTAAATGTTATACGATCACCAAAGCCCTTTTATATAAATAATTTTTTACTTGTGTATAAAATCAAATAATAAAAATTTATATTATTTATATTTTTAAATAAAATGTATATACACATATATACACATTTTTTCATGTGTGAATTATTTTTCATTTTTGTATTTCATATAAATGTATATATGATATACATAGTATATAAATAAACATATATATACACATATTTCTCAGTTCATTTCACCAACTGTGAAATATAATAATAAAAGTGAAATATAAATATGAGATTAAAATAATATTTCTTGTTGAAACAAACAAAAAAAAACTAAATATTGTTTAGTAGAATGAAATAGAATTATAGGGGAGAGCGGGGTGAGTTGAGCCAGTGTTTACTTCTGCCGTGTTTAAACTTTAATTTACAAATAAACTTGAATTGAATTAAAGCGAGCACATGACAGTAATGGCTCCAACTTAAATATGTACAGTAATTTCAGGATGTGGTGCATCCTTGGCAATAATCACTTTGGATCTAAAATAAACTGCTTTCAAAATATGGCTTTCCAGAAAAAAAAAAAGTGGTCTCTTGGCTCAACTTGCCCCCATTGCGGGGTAAGTTGAGCCACATAGAGTTAAACGGCGCCATTGATTATGCTTAAGTAAAACCGAACATTTTCACCTCATGCTATATCAAAGGGAGAGAAATTCAATAAAAATTACTTCCTAAAATCTGTGTGTGAGCTTTGTGATGGACTGAGCATCCTCACCTGTGGCTAAAGACGCTGGGTTACAATCAGAACAAAATCAAAATATTTTGGTGTAAAATGAATGAAATATAATGTAGAGTAGCTGTAAAATAATACTTTATAATCATAAGAAGGGGTGAGCCACTGGCTCAACTTACCCCACTCCTACATTTTAACAAACTTGTATCATCCAGCAGTTTAGAGCTAACAGCATAGCCTCATATTATAACCTCATAAAGCACAAACACATGCATACATTTTTTTTTTCAGATTTGTCTGTAATTGTTCAGACCCAAGAAGCACAGAAGTTCAGACACTTTGAACAGCAAAAAACTGTTTTTTGAACTTAAACGTGGCTAAAAATCATCCCATTGGCTTCGCTGCATCACATGGTGAGTAAAATGGATAACTCTTCATATATTTGTGGTCACATCACCAATTTTGTTTAAGGTTGCCTAGTCCCGATGATGTCACGATGACATCACAGCGCTCTTGAGCATGAGATCAGCATCTCATTGGCTACAAACGGCGCTGACCTTTGACCTGCTGTCCTCGGTCGACCGAATACGACACACAAAGAGGCTCTTTTATACGCGACTGTATCCGTTTTCGCTTTAAAATGGCGATCTGCCTTCCCCACGACTCCCACCCGCGTCTGAATGAAATCTGGGTCGCTCATTGTGCAACTTCATGGAGAAAAAGCATCACTGTTGGCTCTCTCTCTCTGGAAACCATGTCTGTTTTCCTTAAATGAACTGCGTGTTTGCATAAGAGAGAGAGAGAGAGAGAGAGAGAGAGAGAGAGAGAGAGAGAGCGAGAGAGAGAGAGA